ATGTGTGTAGGATAGCATACTGGGAAGAGACTCAGGCAGTAGAGAGTTAAAACAGGCTTTAAAAAGTTTAAATAAGCTATTCCAAATGGCCTCTCGTTTCTGGGACTTTTTTTTAAAAAAGTTAGATAATGTTTTGAATCTGATTATAAAGAATGCCTTTAAGCTATTTTTAAAATAATGCTTTTAATCTACTTTTCATAATTTGAGTCCATTACAAATCACTCTGGGGAGAAACCCTATTTGGCATTAAAGCAACCTTGATGGTTTTAAGTTTAATATTTCTGCAAAATATCACCTATTAGTATTATTGTTAGGAATGAATTTGTTTTATCTTAAAATGTTTCACAAAGTGTTAAAATGTAAAATGTTTAATTTCATAACGAAAACCTCTTTTATCTTCTGTTGGTGGGTTTTGGTGACCCAGAACCTAATCATACAGTAATCTAAAGAAGACTATGCCGGTTGTGTTATTAGCCGTTTTCTGTAAGAGACAGAGTAGGATATTTTAAAAGGCAGAATAATGGTAAAAAATTAAAAAGAAGATTCCATATTGTAAATTGACACTGAATAGCTTGGTGAGTACAATACCTGCTAGTTCCTGGGAGTTCAGTTCTCCATTATGCCTTTCGGGAGAAGAATGAATCTGTATAGAGCAAGCTACATTGCTGCAGAGTGTTATCAGTAGAAGGGAATGGTAAGCCACTTCCGAGTACTGTATATTATACCTAGAAAACTCCGAGAAAGGGTTCCCATAACTTAGATTTGTTTCAGAGACAAATTGATGGCACGTTAGAATTAGACATGTGTCCCAGCTTTGTGACATCTCAAAGCCACTAGCTTCATGCCTCTTTGGAGTAAGCTTTAGTACAGTGTTCCAAGAGGTTGCTGACCCAATGTGTTGCGGCATAAACAAAATGCCTTGGACATAACATATTTATGACTGTGTTACCTTGAGTGGACTTCAGATGAATGGAGCATTACGAAGTGTGCTCTATGCAGTTAACAAAGTCAACTATAGTCCACAGAAGCTCAAACTGTCATAAATCTATTAGCTTCTAGAAGCCATAGGATGGTTTGTGGTAATGCCTTTTATTAGCAAAGAACAAAGCTCTTGGCGTTTGGAGGAAGCTAGCTTTTCTTTTAAGGAAGATTAATTAATTTTTCAAAGTCACTTGTACCTATTCTGTTTAATATATAGTACTTTTTACTCTTTGCCATCATTAACACCTGTTTCAGTGACAAAAGCTCAGACTTCCTTGGTGACTCCCCACAATGATAGAATTGTTTCTCTCACCTGGTGTCCGTGCACTTTCTAGGCAGTAGATTTTAACAAGTGGAGGAGCAGTAGGGAACTATATAAAATTACGACCTTTTACATCATACTCTTAATTTGCAGTATGTATAAGCATGCTATATGCTTCAGTCTTTCAGGATTGGGTGGTGTAGATAATAGTTTGTATTTAGAACATTTTGTCTTCATGTTGTGATTAATTGGTTTAAGATGTCTAAACTAACACACATTTTATACAGATGAAATGATCATAATTTAAGACAAAAGGCAGTAAATTGTGTCAGCCTTTAAAGCATTTTAAGTATGAGTAATAAAGGGAATACTGTATTCTTGTCTGTGATATTACAGTACTGATGAATTAAGGCCATAAGATGTAGCACTCTTGGTTGATACATTGAGTAACATAAGCAGTTCTCTTTGATACAAACATATGGTTGGGGTTTCTAGCCAGAAATAGGTCAGCCATAAGCTCTACATAGCCTATACTATTTCTACTAAAGTAAAAGCAATTTCCTCTAGATACATGTGCTGTACTACTTATAAACCAGACTTTGAACTCTCATGCTCAGAAACAAGGTTTTGTTCAATATTTGTTTATTTTTTTACTTAGCTTGTAAACTTGGTGTTCTAACAATGTTAAGTCGCTAAAATGTGAAATTGTGTTTTTAAAGAGACACAAGTTTTCAGTGTACTTTCATTGCATTAAATAACATAAGTCTTTTAATGAAATCATAGAAACAATGTGCAATTCAATCATTGTACACGACTGAATATATATATACTTTTTAAAAGACTTTCAGACCTAATCTAAATTAGAAGCGCTGGAGCAAATAATGGCTGAAATCATCTTGGTGTAACTTTTTATTCTACAATACAAATGATGGTATTAACTGGTGCCAGAAATCTTTAATTGAATTGAATTTAAAACATCCTACCATCCTCTTAAGACCCCAAGGTTCCCTAGGGATCCTTTTCATCCTGGGGAAGCCTTTGGGAGCCTTAGAATGGGGGAGGGGCAGCCTTTAATGGTGGAAAATCACTGTCAAATTGCCGGAGCCATTTCCAATCCTGTGGTAGCAGTGTCCATGTCAATTTTTTAATATTAAAAACTCCCCACCCTTATTCCAAGGCTCCCAAAGACCACTTGGGGCAAAAAGGATCCCTGGAGAGCCTGGGAAGCTAGAGTGGGGTGAGAGGAAGCTTTGAAATCAATTCAGTGGAGTCTCAATTGTGGGGTTCCACAGGGGTCGATTATCTCCCTAATGCTGTTTAACATCTATATGAGGCCGCTGGGTGGGGTCATTAGGGGATGTGGGGCTTCGTGTCATCAATATGCCGATGACACCCAGCTCTATATC